CGTAACCTTCGTATCGTAAGTGGTAATTTAGTCCGTTATTTGGTACGGGGATTATTCGTTTTCGGGTTGTCTCGTTTTCAAGGTTAGGGTTTTCGGGACAAGCGACTCGAATCACTTTTCTTCGGAAACAGCTCGGAAATTTTCCGAGACTACTTTCCCTTGCTAACTTGAACTTAGTCTTCCTCTGGCGACCGTCTCGGGTTAACACGTGATCTTCGAAAACTGCTCGGGAACTTTTTAGAAACGGTATCGCAGACTAGCTTAGTCCCTACCATCCTATGCCACCCCTTTGGGACAATGTTTTGGATCAAGTTGCCTTCAGAACACATAGGGTAACTGTTTGAAAATGGTAAGCTGTGGTTGCTTTGTCCCAGTCCTTCTGAGCTATCGCGAATTTCGTAAAGATATGTAATTAGGAATTATCTCTGTTGCAGATAATGCAGAAGATGAACAGGAGAGGTTAGAGTTAAGAAGCCGCACCGAGGTTCGATTGACGGAAGGCGAGACAGCAGAAGAATCTGTTATCTACAAATTCACTGGCAAAACTGCTCAAGAATAACTGAACTGAAGTAAAATGAAACGACAGAAACCTAAGCTTTTTCCGTCTTCCTGCAAGGACTCTAGCATGGCCGCGTGACCATTAACACGAATGACTCAGGCTATTTTCAGATCTGTTTTATAGGAAATAGTTGACGCAAGCTCCGTAATTGCTGTATTTTGTGGTAGGGACTTGTAGGGATTATCACGGGGGGGGGGGGGAGTGGGTGGGGATGATGAGGGTGTCATTTCCACTTTAACGAACGACTGACGCAAAGGATTATCATGCACTGGGGGGAGGGTTGGGGATAATTTCTTCAACGCGACTGTTTGCTTAAAACTGGATCTGAAAATTTTGCGGAGAAGGAATATCTAGAGTTTGATTTTGGCGCTTGCCACTGAGATCAGACAAAAATTATTCCAGTGTTAATTAACATAATGTCGCTTTATTTATCGTGTTGTGTATAGGCCTTTATAGAAGAGTACCTGACACGAGTTGTATGTTTAGTGGCTATTTATTTTACTGTAATATAGCACCTCGGTAGTGTAGTTTCAGATGGATTCGTTTCTTGGTGATGGCGAAGTTCATCAAATTGACCTTATCGAAATGAACCGCTTGCATCAAGGGACCTCGTTCCTAAGGTCCGTCCACGCGGAAGGAAGAGAGGACCCTGGGAGCAAGGAAGCGCGTGACAGTATGCATTCAGAGAAAAGAGCTTGTAACATGAAATTACCATGAGAGCAATAAAAAGGCCACAGTTATGAATTTTTGTTTGGATTTGTAGAAAGTCAACTTTCCTGTTCTTACATAACATCTTGACTAGTAATCCCACTCGCCTCGCGCGCAAAGATTTTCTGCGTCCTAAGTCATCTTCACGACCAAATACGAGATCATCTTTAAAAAGCAGCCAAGCCAGCCAGTACACAGTGCACTGTGGGTGCAGTTGCATTATTATTTTTGATCACCCATAGTAAGACATGTTCATCACATTTAGTTTTCTTAGAACTAAGAGCAAATTCCATAGTTTTCTTTAACTTGACGTTCAACCCGTTTCTTTACCGCTGGAGGATTAGTGAAGTAAGTGTAGAATTTTGATACCTTGAGGGGAGGGTATAGATGAATTTTGAAGGGAGGACAAGATAAGAGGCTTTGAGAGATAATAGACAGCAGACGATGATAAGGAGGGTATTAATTTTGTGAAGTGGTGTTTCGTACCTGTCGAGTAATAGTCTCCGTTTTCAATTTTAGTCTGATATGAGCCGCAAAGAAAAAAAACCTTGAAGGGGTTCTCATTTACGCCGTCTGCGATCAAATGGTTTCCAATTGATTCATGTTTTACCCTGAATAATCTGGTTCAGTTTCCTGAGGCTGATCATAATTCTAAAGGTCTCTACATATTGAAGCTGATATCAACCCCTATATTCATCTATCTTATCAACGGCACTTCTCGGTACGGGTGGCTTTTGAACTATACTGTGAAATGATAATTAAAGCACAAATTTTTATATTTTCGCCTCTTAATGCAAATTCATTCCAGATTGAACTTCACCAGTTGGATAAATACTTGGTTGCGACGCACAACATTTTTAGATGATACACACCATGCCTCATCGCTTCATTGTCAATGATAATTCAACTTTAATAATTGAAAATTTTACTCCGGGAAGGGATCGATATTTCTGTCATCCATGGTGCTGTAAAACAAAAACGAATTGTATCAGTATGGAGGGATCTTTTAGAGTACTTCTACGGAATGATAAGACAGAATTACTTGTTGCAATGAAATTTATAAAGAGTAAACTATATTTAACGCAACTCCTGGGAAGAAATGAGAACCTCTTGTGACAGAAGAAGCATTGCGTATTCGCATATTATGTAAGTGACGTTACTTAGGAAGTTTCTGTGTCAATGTAATTAAAAAAATGTGATCAGTTATATAATCGTGGCCTGCTGGCAGGTGCGATCGTAGAAAAAATATCTCTTGTTAAATGTAGTTACAAATAAGCATTGGAAAAAAACAAAACAACTGTTTACTAAGTTACGAAGTGCAGGGGAATATTTTCTAGCATAGATATTGTCTGTCGCCTCCAAGAAGTGAATTTGTCCTGGATAAAAGTTCAGTTAAAATCTTCTTTCCACAAAAACATATTACTGTTTCTCTTCAAGGTCAAGTTGATGCTCGATTGATTGCTTGAAGTTAATCTGCGTACGCCGGAAAAAAGGAAAAAATATAAGAAAAGCAGAAAATATTTCATATTTACATGCATGATATTGCTACAGAAGAAAGTTTTTTTTTATCCCATAATAAAAAATTTTGATGCCTGCGTCAAAAATGTCTATGAGTGTACTTAATTCTAATTAAGACCTATATTAATCACAAAAGGTTTGGCAAACACCTTAATTTCATAACATAACTTCTCATAATTTTTTTTCTTTTTTTACGTAAAAGAAGACAATTTGCTGAAAAGAGTTTCCGGTGAAGAAGGTGATCGTACTCTTTCAAACAAACAGAAAAAAAAGCGAAAGGTTGCACCATTTAAGGCTTAAAATTGCTCAGTTGAATTCACATACGGCTTTGCTATCTTTTTCATTATTGTTATCATTTTTAATGCAAAATATGCCTCACGGTGAACCACTGTCCAACAATTTTACAGAATCTCATTAGCTGCAAATTACTGAGAAACCGGGTTTTCTCATAGATGATAATAAATGCAAAACACAACCACACAATCTGATAAAAAAGTGACATGTATCTTCGCAAAACAGACACTTTTTATTCGCATTTCAAGTAAAAAAAACACTGCTTTTGAAAGCAGTTAATGTAGATCTTAGTACCAAAGAAAGCGTCACATCTCAAACTTCTTAATTTTGGCTGTTAATACCTTTTCTGCCAATTTAATTCAAGATTGGACGTGACCAGTTGTGACGCACAGCAATTTTAGGTAATAATATTGTATAATAAAAGCTATAGTAAGAGCTGCAGACGCCATCATGAATGATTCAAGAGGATATTTCCATGGAAAGAACTCCTAACGCAATTTAATAAATGTCTCATCTGTAGATTCGAGAGAAAAATTACAACTTAACGAAACGCAATTTAATGAAAATCTTGATTCTATACGTGGCCGAGTGTGTCGTGGTTAACTGTATCTCCTCAACTTTGACATGGCACATTTCACAATTGATTCGTGCCTTAGTGTGAAGTTGGTGGAAATTCCTCTATTGGACTCCCTCAGTTGCATGAAAGACGAAGCATAGAGGTAAGATTATTGAATCATTGCACCCCCGCAAATAACTAAAGTGTAAGTTCTCCCTACACAATAATGAAGACGTCGTTTAGAAACTGGTAACAGAGTTGTCATTTTGCTGCCGTTTTACATGAACAAGAAGATTTAAAAAGAAATTTCCGGGGCGACTTTCTGCAATAAAAATTTCTATCGGTGGTAACGATCGCGGTTTTGTGTAATGGTTAACCCTTTTACACCTTAATATCAGTATTCAGGTTCTCCATACTGTTCTCTGTACATTTACTATGGAGTTGACAAGGAGAATTTGTGTAACAATCAAGAGTTCCTTTAGTTGGTAATCATTTCCTATATTCTCATGACATTAATGTGTGATTCAGGGCTGAGATTGTAAGGAGAAACAAGATGCTAATCACTCTCATGGCTTAAAGGCTTAATAGTATCATGGAGTTAACTGAACATCTTTAGAGCTATTAACCCTGAAACTCCCAGGAGTGATGAACAAGTACCTTCTCCCTATAGTATTCATACAATATCCAGCAAACAGGTAGCGAGAATACTCAAACTTATCAGGTAAAAGATATTATCTTGATCAAACACTTAATTCTCGCAGCCAATTTAAAAGGAAAAGTGAAGCAGCAAGTGAGGAGAAATAACAATCAGATATTGGGAGTTAAACGGTGAACAGAAATTTCTAATTTCCAAAGAATCGTTCCCTTTGGTTCGTAATAAAAAACTTTAAAAAAAATCAAATTAGGTGAGTAATTGCTTTAGGAAGTTTTTTTAAGGCAACTTTTCAACGAAAGAACCTTTGAGTATTGATGGCCCGGGATGTGCTATTGAGAAAACATATGTCTTCCGGCAATTAAAAACCGAAAAATGGAGGCAGACGTCCATTAAGTTTGATTGTCAGATGAACACGACCGGAAGTTTGATAAGAGGTGAAACGAAACAAAGATTTTAAAAGCAATCATGTTCCCCTTCTTTGGTTGGTGGATTACGAAAGCAATCAATTTATAATTCAGTCGGTCAAAATTCTGCTCTTCCACACACCTTTTCTTTTCCTTCCCAAGTCCTAAGTCCCGTTCACAAGGAATCTTCCCTTTATCTGCCGTCAAAACTTTAGTTGGCACCTTTAAACAGAGGATACCTGGAATCGTGGATCATAATTCCTTGTTCTTTAATGTACCACAGCCTTGTTGTTGAACTGAGAAATGATGGCGACTGGTAATTTAACAGAAGGTGAAGCACAGACGAAAACTATCTTAGAAGAATTGGGTTTGTCCCGCTATCTGGTACGTGAGTTCCATCAAGAATCATTTTTTTTCTCAGCGGTTCACATTCTCCTCTCCATCACTGCATTTCTTGGGAATACTCTTATCCTTGTTGCCCTTCATAAGGAATCTTCCCTTCATCCGCCTTCCAAACTCTTGTATTGTTGTTTGGCAACAACTGATCTGTTGGTTGGTCTTGTTAACCAGCCTCTCTATGCTACCTTTTTGATCTCCTGCACTCTTCGGAACTGGAGTGTTTTCCGATTCACATATGATGGGGTATACATAACCAGCCATGTATTATGCGGAGTATCTTTATTTTCTTTGACGGCCATAAGCGTGGACAGACTTCTTGCCCTGTTGTTGGGGCTGAGATACAAACGAATTGTAACTTTGAAGCGCATATATGCTATTTTAGCTCTGTTTTGGGTTGCATCCCTTGTCAGCACTCCATTTTACATTTTAAATCACCGTATAAGTACGTGGTATAGCTCTATAGCTGTATCATCTTGCCTAGTTATCTCAATCGCTTCTTACACAAAGATTTTCTGTGCTCTCAGTTATCATCAGGCTCAAGTACAAGATCATGTTCAACAACAGCCGGGCCAACCGAATGCACTGAACATGGCGCGATACAGAAAGGCAGTGCACAGTGCACTGTGGGTGCAGTTAGCATTAGTTTTCTGTTATTTTCCATATTTTACAGTGGCAATTGTAATTAGCGAGAGTAGTCCATATCCACCTTACTTATTGGTGGTCATCAGGGAAATAGCAGTTGTCCTAGTTTACTTTAACTCGACGTTAAACCCGTTTCTTTATTGCTGGAAGATTAGTGAAGTGAGACAAGCAGTGAAGCGGACAATCAGACAAGCACTTTGCTGTCCATGGACTTAGTTCTCTCTAGATTTACAATCTGTTGTTGATATTCTTTATTTCCTCATCCCAAAAGGCAGCGAACCGAAACACAATAACCACATCTTTAAAATATTTTTCAAGAGAAGCCACTTAACGTAAATACCACAATACATAAACGAAACGAAGAGTATGCATTCATCCATGATAAAGGAAAACTAAAGATACGTTACTTTAATTCTGCTGTCTTGTCTAACTTTCATCTTAAAGTTAATAAAGTCTGATCTTAAACGTTCCAGTGAAGGAGAACTGATGGATGAATTTGTTTGTTGACGATAAAATAATTTGGATTCCTTTTTCTTTCTAAAATAAAGCGCTTGACGTTAACATTATATTGCGATACGAGTCGGTCACAAGTCAGCAATAAACCTGAATTTGTTTTATTGTAAAAGAATCCAAAATGCATATGATTTTAGAAATGTTCATATTACCAGTGAAAAATGCGTGTGTGTTTAGAATAAAGTTGAACATCCCCAACTCCTACAGAGTTCATTACAAAATATCTCGATTTCCGAAATTGAATGTAGCACTTCAACCTCTTCGCTTGGCGAGAAATGAATTTATAACTGAAAAAGTTTGATCTTACGTTGTGAAATAATGATAGAATCACAGGTGTCTGTGCGTTTGACTCTTGATGCTAATTTGTTCCTAAATTAAATTTTACTGCCGAATTAAACAAACACGTAGTTGTGGCGCACAATAGACTTCCGGCTTCATTTTGAGGCCTTAAAAGAATGAAGCTGAATAAAATTTTACAAAAGTGCTTTTTGCTTACAAATTGTCGCCTTTTGTTTGATAATGTGAATATAAGGCACAAACGTGATCGTTAAAAAAAACTGTCATACTTGTCATTCAAAAGGGATTTCATGGCTACATTTTTAAGGAGTAAACGCTAGTGACAATGATGATTGAATTTACAAAAGCAGGGCAACGTCATATACATCTCAGAATAAAAATAGATATGTCTTGTGACAGATTAGGCAGTTCGTAAGAGCGTTTATAAAATAAGAGAATGCTTCTGAGGAAGATGTTTAATTAGATGTTGCTAAGAAGGTGAATTATTCACGGCCGGGCGGATGTTGTGGAAAGAGCAAAAAATCTCTCGTAACATAAAGTCAAATTAGCCCACAGGAAACGACCCTTTTTTATAGAACTACCTAATAATGTAGAATATTTTGTAGCGTTAATAGTGTCTCTCGTCAAAAAGAAATGCGATTTTCTTCTCTAAAATTTAATACATAATAAGTAAGTAAGTATCAATATAAAAAAAAGCCTCCTGTTTTTTCTGTGTGAAAGGAGATGATTTGTTGATGCGCTACTAAGGACGTCGTCTGCAGCCTTTGTCGATAAACGCAGCGGACGCAACCTACATAGCGAGCTATGCATTATGTGGAGGCTTTGATGACGATGGCCATCAGCGTGGACAGACTTCTCACCCTGTTATTGGGGCTGAGATATAAACAAACTGTAACTTTGAAGTTCACATATATCATTGCAGCTACCATTTGGGTTTTATTCAGTATCGCTGCTTTATGTTATTCCATACACACATACACACCCTACGGAGCTTTTCAGAGTCAATGTTACATTACAAAATTTCAGGAAAAAGTAATACCTGATGATCTCACAAGTTCAAAGGAAGAAAAAAACATTTACTTTTCTTTGACATAAAGGACATATCCTGATGCAATGTAAATAAGACAGGCTGGTAGAGAATTTTTATTTGAAAATTATCAAAGAAGTCATTAAGGTCTCAGCGATCGTCACTCGGCGAATGTTGTTCAGACAAAATATTTCTTGCCGCAATCAAAGATAAACTATAAGAAAAAGGAAACAAGTGACAGAATAATGTCGATAACAAATTTCACGAGAAATGGAACACAGACGAAAACATTTGAAGAACTGCAATGTTCTTCCTCTTTAATGGGTGGGCTTCAACGAGAATCACTTTCTTTCGCAGCGGTCAACATTTTCTTCTCCATCACAGCATTTGTTGGGAATTCTTTCATCCTTATTGCCCTTCACAAGGAATCTTCCCTCCATCCGCCGTCCAAACTCTTGTATCGTTGTCTGGCAACAACAGATCTCTTGGTTGGTCTCGTTAGCCAGCCTCTCGCTGCTTCTAGCTGGATGTTTATTGCTCACGAACACTGGATTCCTTGTCGATACGCAATTACCGCGGCCGCTATCACAAGCCACGTATTATGTGGGGTGTCTTTGTTGACAATGACGGCCATAAGCGTGGACAGACTTCTCGCCCTGTTATTGGGGCTGAGATACAGACATATTGTTACTTTGAAGCGCACATATATCGTCGTCGTTACCTTTTGGGTTCTATCCAGTGTCGCTGCTTTATGTTACACTTTAGATTACCGTATAACCACTTGGTATGGCCTTACAGTTATACCATTATGTCACGTTATCTCAATTGTGTCCTACACAAAAATTTTTTGCGCTCTGAGTCATCATCATACACAAATACAAGATCATGTTCAACAACAGCCGAGCCAACCAAATGCAGTGAATACCACACAATACAAAAAGGCAGTGTACAATGCACTGTGGGTTCAGTTGGCATTAGTTGTTTGTTATTTGCCGTACCATTATGGTTTAGTGGAAATTGCGATCAGACAAAGCAAAACATATTCATCGCACCTAGTCATCAGAGCGGGTGTAACATCTACAGTAATTTACTTTAACTCAACGTTAAATCCGTTTCTGTACTGCTGGAAAATAAGTGAAGTGAGACAAGCAGTAAAGCAAACGATCAGACAAGCATTTAGCTGTCCATAAAGTAAGATCTACCCCGAATTATGCTCGTATTAATACATTCTAAGAATAGTTATTCAGTCACGATCATTACTTTAGAACTCTATTCAAATATGTGAATGGACAGGAAAATAAAAAAAGCAGAAAAATAAAATTGTTGCCTAAGGTTTGCTTTTTCGCACGTAGAAAACTGAAGGAAAGGAAATGGGAAAACCAATCTTATCACACTCTATCATGAATAAAACAAGTCTTAATCGAAGGAAAGATATGCATGCACCGCAGGGCTGAACTTTAAATTTTGAGTTTGTCGAGGCAAATGTACAGAGTTGATAGTAACACTAAATCATTACCTTATTAGCGAAAGTTTTTCTGAGTTAAGATAGATCGTTTCAAGCTGATAGCAAAGATTTACTTGTCCTCGCCTCTTATAGCTAATTACTACCAACGAAGAAATTGTGAGTTGTGAGATTTTATAAAGGACACGCTGGTTAAAGCGTGTTTTTTTTTTTCCGGTTCGATGGAAATCATGGAGAAAAAAAATGCAAGGAAGATCCTAGAATAGGAATGAAAAAAGAGCATTGAATTGACAAACTCATTTTGCCTATTTTTAAAATTCGATAACGGTAATTACGGGTTTTTAATTTTTTCTAACAATTTAATCCGAGTGAGGTTTTTGCTTTTTCATATTGCAAAACAAAAATGTTGCAGATGTCTCCTCAAAATGCAAATGTAAACCTAAATTTAAACTTTTATTTTGATTTTTTTATTTTGTATTGTATATTTCTATTTATTTACCTATTTTTCTTATGTATCTGTAGATTGCCACTATTTCAACTTTCTCCTCAAACGATTTACGTCTTGGCTTGATCTTTTGTATTTTTAGTTTTCCAAGGGTAAGACCTGTAAAGATCTCACCAACAAAATAATAGTTTTATTGCATGATAGAGAGGAAAGAGTTTTAATCAGCGCTATAAAATAGACATTTTACAGATGTCTCTTTGCTTGCCACTTAGAGGAATATCATACCTAAGGCAAATAATGTCGGAAAATTTAAAAGGCAATTCTTTCTTACGCGACATACATGTAGTTTGCCCACGCATTGTAAACAGTAAAAGCCGCTGAGGAAGGCATTTTTACCCTTAGTTTTCCAAGGGTAAAAATGCCTCAAGACCTGTAAAGATCTCACCAACAAAATAATAGTTTTATTGCATGATAGAGAGGAAAGGGTTTTTAGCAGCGCTATAAAATAGACATTTTACAGATGTCTCTTTGCTTGCCACTTAGAGAAATATCATACGTAAGGCAAATAATGCCGAAAAATTTAAAAGGCAATTCTTTTTTGTTTGTTCCGAACTTACGCGACATACATAGTTTGCCCACGCATTGTAAACAATAAAAGCCGCTGAGGAAGTCTTTTTAAGATAACGATAGGAAAGAAGGGTTTAAGTGACAGTGAAAAGGAACAGTCATTTAAAATATGTTCCGGCTAAAGTCAATGTTAAGTGCCTTTCGATTTCACTGGAAAAGGCCTAAAGAAATACCAGACTTCTAGGGGTCTTCTTGTTCAGTTATTTATTTCTTCTTGTGTATTGTTAGCAGAAAGGGAAGAATTGCAAACAATTGCCAGTTTTTAAAACAATCGTTTCCCCTCTTTGTTCATCTGATTGAGAAACGATACACCAGCTAAATCCACTGAGAACATTTTTCGACACTTCCACGACACGATTAACAGCTGTACAAATATTTTTGGAAGAGTAAATGCTGCTGGGAGTTCGGTAAGTCAATCTTTTTAAAAGGGTAAAGCTTAGCAGGTGCCAATAGGACAAACATTTCTTACTGCAATTTGCCGGGAAAGCCGACCACTGTTCATTGGACTGCGCTGCAAAAAAGACGACAACAAATATATCACCAAATGGAATGCAGCAAACATTGTAGAACTGGTCTGTTCCCCATATTCGCTCCGTGGATAACAACAGCAATCAATATATTTGTCAGCAGTCAACATTTTCCTCTCCATCAGAGCATTTCTTGAGAATTCTCCTATTCTTGTTACCCTTGATGAGGAATCCTCCCTCCATCCGCCATCCAAACTCATGTAAAGTTGTCTGGCAACAACTGATCTGTTGGTTGGTCTTGTTAGTGTCGTAAATGGTGTTTTGGAGAAATTAATTTCAGTGCCATTCAAGGATATTTTAGAATACAAAGATAGAATAATTTCAACTTCATAATAATTTTAGATGATTCTCTAACCGTGTTAAAGAACTGAAAT